AATAAGTGAGGTATCAAGGATGATACCAGCGTTTTTGTCCAAAGCAAGTGTGTAAATGGAGTTGAAAAAATGGAAGCTGAAGTTTGGGGGCGAGTGCATCAAAGTTTTGCTCTAAACATATTATGTTTTGGGGGGAGTTATTGGACATGTAAGTGGTGATACTGACTAGACAGCTAGATAGTTGAGTCTAGAGTTCTCAGAAGAAGTTGAGGCAAGAGTTATAAAATTGTAAACATTCCATATCAACATGAAATTAAAGATATAAGAGTAGATGCAAACACCTAAAAAGAGAGTAGCTATATAAGAGAAGTCTGAGGACTGAGCTCTGAAACTCCAAGATTAGGAGTTAAGAAGATGTTGAGCACAAGCCAGAGAGACTAAAGAGGTGGCCACAAGGGTGAGGTATGTGGAAGCCAAGAGAATAGAGTGTTACAGGAAGAAGGAAATGATCAGTTGTGTCAAGTACCATTGATGGTTTGATTAAGTTAAGTAGTGAGTATTGACTATTGTGTTTTGACCAGTGAAAAGCATTAGTGTGCTTGCCAAGAACAATTTTACTGGAGTCGGGAGAAGAAAAACCTGACTGGAATGGGTTTAAGAGAAAATGGGAGGAGAAGAAAAGGAGCGAGTGGGGTGGATTTTGCATGAGAGGGACCATTAGAGGATGTGGACAAGAGGGCAAATAACTTCAGAGGAGAGTCCTTGAATAGGTGAGAAGGAATAAGATTTCATGCTGAAATGATAGCAGCACAGGCAGGTCATGCATTGTAACAGAAGAGAAGGCAGGGTATAGGGGCACCAGTATGGTAAACTGACTGCAAAGATAATCTTCTCCAGTTAGATGTCCTCTTAAATTTTCACAAACTTGATCCCATATGCAAACCTCATAGAGAAAAATATTCTAAAGTAGTGTTTTCCAAACTGTTAATTCCATGAGATACTATCAGGTTTTTCATCAAAAGGCCAGATATTCTTGGAAAACACTAGATACTAATATTATTCTCTTTAGAGATTTATCATCCGTACAGTATATTAGAGGTTCTGTGGCACAGTCCCAAGTAAGGTAAGGCTATCACTGTAATTTTTCTAATACACTATTGCTTGAACATATATGACTGTAGAAGCCTGTGTTTGTTTATTTGCTTGGGTTTTGGTGATTAGGATCTCTTTCAAACACTCCTTGTGAGGCAGATTTTTACTCATCTCACTGTCTGACTGTTTTCCTTCCTAACACATCACAATTCAGCAAAGTAGAAATTCTCTAGATTGTCCAGAAATACAGATGTGCCCTGACCAGCACAGGATATAAATGCTACCCACCCTTAGTTTAGAAATGGGATTTTTAATTTTGGATCCTTAGATTTCATAGTAGTCCATGTATTGATTTCAAGAATTTCACATGATCATGAGTCCACTGTAATTGTGTATAAGACTTTGTGGGAGTTGCATATGTAGATGCTTATCTTTTAACAGATTCTCTTCTTTTAATTGAAGTATATAATCAGTTACAAATTATCAATTTCTGATGTACAGTATAGTGTCCCAGTTGTGCATATATATATACATATATTCATTTTCATATTCTTTTTCATTAAACGTTATTACTAGAAACTAATATAGTTCCTTGTACTATACAGAAGAAATTTGTTTTTTATCTATTTTTATATATAGTGGTTAACATTTTCAAATCTCAAACTCCCAAATTTATCCCTTCCCACCCTCTTTCCCCTGGTAACCATAAGATTGTTTACTATGTTTGCGAGTCTGTCTGTTTTGTAGATGAGTTCATTAGTGTCCTCTTTTTTCTTCTTCTTTTTTTTTAGATTCCACATATGAGTGATACCATATGGTATTTTTCTTTCTCCTCTGGCTTACTCCAAAAGAATGATGATCTCAAGGTCTATCCATGTTGCTGCAAATGGCATTACTTTATTCTTTTTATGGCTGAGTAGTATTCCATTGTATAAATATATAAATGGACATTTAGGTTGTTCCCATGTCTTGGCTGTTGTGTATAGTGTTGCCATGAGCATTTGGGTGCATGTATCTTTTTGAATTAAAGTTCCTTCCAGATAGATGCCCAGGAGTGGGGTTGCTGTATCATGTGGTAAGACTATTTTTAGTTTTTTAGGTATTTCCATATAATGTTTTCCATAATGGCTGCACCAAATTTCATTCCCACCAACAGTGTAGGAGGGTTCCCTTTTCTCCACACCCTCTCCAGCATTCATCATTTGTGGACTTTTGAATGATGGCCATTCTGATTGGTGTAATGCGATACCTCATTGTAGTTTTGATTTGCCTTTCTCTGATAATTAGTGATATTGAGCATTTTTTCACGTGCCTATTGGCCATTTGTATGTCTTCACTGGAGAATTGCTTGTTTAGGTCTTCTGCCTATTTTTGGATTGGGTTGTTTGGGTTTTTTGGTTTTTAAGTTGTATGCAGTGTTTATATACTTTGGAAATTAAGCTCTTGTCAGTCTCATCTTTTTCAAGTATCTTCTCCCATTCCATAGGTTGTCTTTTTTATTTTGCTTATGGTTTCCTTTGCTGTGCAAAAGCTTATAAGTTTAATTAGGTCCCATTTGTTTATTTTTGCTTTTATTTCTATTGCCTGGGTAGATTGCTCTAGGAGAACATTGCTCTATGAGACATAAGATTTATGTCAGAAAATGTTTTGCCTATGTTATCTTCTAGTAGATTTATCATGTCTTGTCTTATATTTAAGCTATTTTAAGTTTATTGTTGTGCATGGTGTGAGGGAATATTCTAACTTCATTGTTTTATATACTGCTGTCCAGTTATCCCACACCACTTGCTGAAGAGACTGTCTTTTCTCCATTTTATATGCTTGCCTTCTTTGTCAAAGATTAATTGACTGTACGTCTGTAGGTTTATTTCTGGGCTCTCTATTCTGTTCCTGCTTATTCTGCTGTCTATGTCTATTTTTGTGC